ATTTTGGGTCAAAAAGAAACTAAAAGAGCATTTCCTCTTTTTTTTTTTTGGCAATGAAAAGGTTTCATGGATGTGAGTGCAGTGTTAGTTTGCTACTGTTAAAGCAATAATCCCCGTGAAGCCGTGGTTTACAGTGAATTTATAACAGCTCAGGGGCGTTAGTTGTTGGGCTTATTGCTTTTATAAAATGGTTATAAGCAGTACGGTTTCACAAAATAAAACAGAGCAAATAAAGTGTAATGATATTAATAAAAACAGTATTCTTCCACCAAACAATGTAGTTCCTCAGAATCAGTTGTGGTTGAAACAAAGTGGTTGCCGAGCAACACACAAATGTAAACAAAGGTGTATGTTTGTAGAGTAATTTACAACAGCTTCGAACGTGGCTCAGCCAATCAGAATCAAGCACCGGAACTATCTGTTTTATAATATAAAATCTAGTGTCTAAATGGAAGTATTTCCCGACTATTGGTTGAAGAAAAGTAGAAGCATGATGGAACTTTTGAAGTTGCCTTCACGTGATATTGGAATTATCGTGAATACAATTTTCGTAGTTGGAAATTAACGCCCTCTCAAGTTTTTACAAAGTAATTACGACTGAGGATCTTGAAACCCGAGCCATAAATTTGTCAGCGAAGAGAACTATAGCTGTACTGACTGTTAAGTTGTATTCATTTTTCCCACATCAACATTGCTTTCTTTTGCCCTTAGAGTATATTTATGTTTATAAATAACCATTTGAAGAATACTGTATTTGTTTTACACTGTGAAAACAGCATTTATTTGACCGGAATTCCTGTTTATATGGTTGTCAACAGATGGGACGCTACATTTTATTCAAAATCTGTTAAATATTCACTAAACTTCAATACATTTTGGCTCTAGTAAGATTTTTTTCACAAGAATGTACATGGTTTCCTCCATGATTTCTATTTCTTTCGGACAACAAAGCACTTGAACATGACAAACTCGTAATTACAACTTCAGAAGTAGGAAATCTCCAGTTATAGCATGTGAAGGCAGCATGAGTGGCATCTCCCAACATTTCAATTAAATATTATAACATTGGCAACAACATTACATGCATTATATTTATGCATTTGGCAAATGCTTTTATCCAGTGCATTTAGGATTTACATTTTATTACTCCAAACATTCCCCTAGGAATCAAAGCCATGACCTTGCCGTTTGTTAGCGGCATGCTCTACCGGCTATAGTATGTGAAAACTATTAATAAATGAACGACAAGAAAAACTTATGCAAACTCTTCGCTCCGTTTCCTCCCAGGGAAGCCAGAACCACACAGAAGAGATGCATAAATCACATCCCTAACCGGCTCTCTGGAGTCCAGTAGGGATCGTGCTGTTTTCTTGACCGTCTCATTGTCCATACATGCATTCTGCTGCTTCAGGAGCTAAAATAAGCGTGAGGTTACGAGGGTGTGCTAGTAACCAGCCCCGCGGCAGCGTGTGTTTACCTGATGATGGTGGGCATGACTTCAGCGGTGAACAGAATAGAGAGAGAGGCGGCCGCTTGGGACGAGAACAGGCCCATTATAGAGAACACAGTCATGGCTGACTCACTCAGATCTGCAGGGACACATTCATCTCAACGTTAGACATTATAAAGCAAAATACCTCAAAGAATTAACTGGACAATGCTTGAAACTTTGTATTGCTCGCACTTTTCGTGTTATTGCCTCCTTGCGCTATGGTATATATGATATGATCACTTGTTGAAATTTAAAGTCGCTTCGGATAAAAGCGTTTGCTAAAAGAATAAATGTAAATTTCCAGATAATTCTGTGTGCAAATCTCTTTTTAGACTTGTGAACTATTAAATGCATTTATAAAAAAAATTTCACAACAAGTAGAATTGTAAGTATTCATCTACGAGATAGTAAGTATTTGTTGTTTTAAATTTATTTATTATTATTAAAAATCATTGTGTCCAGGATGATTTTCGTAAGCGTGTTACGATAATGAATGGGATTTATGTTTATTTTTTACATTACAGTAGTGAAATTTGAGGAGAAAAGTGCTTTGAAAACCCAAAAATACTTTCTTTAATATAAAAAATATATATAATTTTAATGTAATGTAGCATTTTAAATTATAAAATTAAATATATAAAAAAATATATTATTTATATAGAAATAAAAAAAATAAAACACCTTTCATCTTTGTTTTGATTTTAGGGTGAAATAACGAAGCAAAAAACACTTACAGTCCATGAGTCCGAGCAGAATTAGGGAGGCCAGTCCGGTCAAGGTCATGGCTAGAAGAAGAATTCCACGACGACCAAACCTGTCCACCGTTGCCCAGAGCAACAGCCAGGCTCCGCCCCCTGCACATACAGACAGCAGGTACGTCCAATAGAAGCTGGGGGTGAATCCTCTGACATCACCTCTGAAGGAGCTGTAGCAGTGACTGATGCCATGAGAGATGAACCTGAACACAAGAATACACTTCAAGATACGATAA